GACTGGCTATGTGAGCTTCTGTATTTGATTACATGGGGGAAAACAGAGTCTTATATGACATTAAAAAGTCAAGCGTCAATCAGTACTTTCTGGAAATTTAGAGAATGTTAACAGAAAACTAAGACATGTAAAACACACGAATATGGATGGTGGAAAGTACTTTTATTAGGACAAGAGCTAAGTTAAGATGTGTTGTTGTTGTTTTTTTTTACCTCTACACATTCCACCTCTCCTTTTTAAAGCAGTTTTCTTAATGATTTGAAAGTGGGAATTTGTTGTCAATGTCAATATTTTGGACTGAACGACTTCCAACTGCTTCGTCGAGTCTTCCGTTAGAAATTAGGTGTGTTTTTTTCACTCGGCGTTGCTGGGTGTTAACCGTAAATCTTTACTATATTTCTTAATGTATCCTCGTAGAATAATTATCTTTTGATTAAAGAGGAGATGAGCACGTGTTAAACTACAACCTGAAGCTAGCTGGAGTGTAAAAATAATGTTTTGTCAGAATTTAGTGACTTACCTGGCCTTTTTTATCTGCCACGAGATTAAGTGTGTGGCCATCTTCTTGGTCTTGTGACACGGGGCACGGATTAGGGAAGGATGACGGGCAGTTACATAAGTGTTGAGTGTGGTTGAGTCGGAGGAACATGGCATTACACACTTGCTGAGGAGCACACTCTGGTAAACCTGGTACATCGGGCCGTTTAACTTGAACGAAGGAGGGGGAGGTCGTCATAGATTCGATGGTTTGCATGGGTTTGGTAGACACTTCCTGATGGGAGAAAAATTGTAAAAAATTTGTTAACTTGAACAAACTATAAAGCGATTATTTGAGTCTTGGTATACAGTAACACATTAATTAGAAACGTTAATAAGGCTCTACGCTGTTTTTTTAACCGCGAGAGCCGTTTCTAGGTCGTCAAAGGAAGATGACATGATAGATGCCCGGTAAGATTGAAGTCTGATGATCGGTCTTCTCTTCTTCAAGAAATGCGTTGGCTAGTTTAGGGGTGGATGTTATCACTCGTTAGGCTGTACGATAGTACAAAGGGTCGTACGATGTGTGGCATTAATGTTGCCATTCCGCAGGATGTAGTGGTCAGTATGTCCACCATCCTACGGTTCCTATGTGTGGCATTAATGTTGCCATTCCGCAGGATGTAGTGGTCAGTATGTCCACCATCCTACGGTTCCTATGTGTGGCATTAATGTTGCCATTCCGCAGGATGTAGTGGTCAGTATGTCCACCATCCTACGGTTCCTATTTTTGCTCATATTACACTCCACCACCGCCATATGCGTCTCGTTATGTGTGAAAATGGAGTAAATCTGGTTCTAGGTTCTCTCTCTCAGGTTCTTATCTGACTTCAGAGTGAGAGACAATCCAAGTGAAAATATATGTGTTCTATATCTTGTTGGTCCACTGGATGTGTCCTGATTATCATTGCAAGCTATCTTATGCTTTATTGTGAGTGAATGATTTTATTTGGCGAATGGTAAACAGGCCGTTCCAGTTTTTCCCTAACCTTTTGTACATTGACGTGGTGTACAGTTGCAGGTGTGAACATCTGATCTAATCTTCGAGTCGATACTTTACGATTGAGGTGAGCCAGAATTGACAGTCTGCTTGTGTCGCAAATGATGGTCATTGGTCAGCCTTGTGTATTTGTTCGACCAACCGTCCCATTGGTTTGGAAGTAGGTTATACATTATGTTCACGACACTGTGAGGTTCTTGAAGTTAGTTCAAAACTTCTGGATTGTTGACTCCCACTTGTTCAGTGCGTAGAACCCCCAGCTGTCTTCTTCAAGGTCCATAGGTTTAAAGCACTTTGATCTCTGTGCCGTCTTCTTCAAGGTCCATAAGTTTAAAGCACTTTGATCTCTGTGCCGTCGTCTTCAAGGTCCATAAGTTTAAAGCACTTTGATCTCTGTGCAGTCTTCATTAAGGTCCAGCAGTTTGGAGCACTTTGAACTTTGTGCAGCTGACTTCTTCAAGGTCCATCAGTTTGGAGCACCTTGAACTTTGTGCAGGCGTCTTCTTGAAGATCCAGCAGTTTGGAGCACTTTGAACCCTGTGCAGCTGTCTTCTTGAAGATCCAGCAGTTTGGAGCACTTTGAACCCTGTGCAGCTGTCTTCTTCAAGGTCCATCAGTTTGGAGCACTTTGAACTTTGTGCAGCTGACTTCTTCAAGGTCCATCAGTTTGGAGCACCTTGAACCCTGTGCAGCTGTCTTCTTCAAGGACCAGCAGTTTGGAACACTTTGAACTCTGTGCTGTTTTCTTTAAGGTCCAGCAGCTTGAAGCACTTTGAACTCTGTGATACACTTCGAAGTGACAACTAAGACAAGACCATACTCTAAACTGAAGTATTTTAGTGTAACCTACAAGTAAAATACACTTTCAAAAACGTGTTCTCCTTCCAAACAAATTGTGTTTTGAGTTGGGACTTTTTTTTTAGTGTAAAAATATTTATAGATATGAGGAAGGTGTAAGTAAGCCTTATCGAAAAGTTGCTGTTTTGATAGTTTATTAGTAGCAAGCGATTGTTATGCTTATCTTAATATGCTGAAATATAAATGTGGTAGAAATTTATTTTATGCTATTCCAAGTCAATGAATATTTAAAAAAATATAATTTATGTACATTATCTCTAAACCTAAAACCTTTTAAAGCAAAAACTACAAACTAAGATATATTTAATTGAAACAAAAGAGTTATCCATTTGTTGCCTTATTTCTATAAATCAAACATTTCATGTTTGTTTAGGCTTAGTGTATTCATTCAATATGATATTTACAAAAACACGACCTCTGGTGTTTGAAATCAAAAGCAAAACACCTGGTGGCTCAAAGAGAGGTGAGACATCTCGTCACTCACACTTTAGTCGTGATTTATTAGAGGTGTTTACTTCTGAAATGAAATATTTTCATTTATCTATGCGATTCACGTTTGTACATTGAACTATATACAGTATAATTTGAATTATAATTCAGTCAGATGCTCGATTTGCTTAACATGGCTGTTATATCACAAATTTCGATAATATTCTAGTTACTAGCCAGATCCGGTATGGCCAGGTGGTTAGGGCGCTCGACTCGCAATCTGAGGGTCGCGGGTTCGAATCCTCGTCCTACCTAACATGCCCTTTCAGCCGTGGGGGGCGTTATAATGTGACGGTCAATCCCGCTATCCGTTGGTAAAAGAGTAGCCTAAGAGTTGGCGGTGGGCGGTGATGACTAGCTGCCTTTCCTCTTGTCTTTCACTGCTAACTTAGGGACGGCTAGCGCAGATAGCTCTCGTGTAGCTTTGCGCGAAATTCTCAACAAAACAAACAAACAAGTTACTAGCTGTGACCACAAAACATTTGCAGTATTTGTCCTGACCTTCGCTTGAATTTTCCTTATTCTGTTATTTTCACGCATGGCATATAAGCTATGCTTTCTTGCAGGCATTGTGTGTTGGATCGATAAATCCTGGTCTATTTGAAAAAATAAAGAAATACGCGGTCAGACAAATAAACTCACGTAGACGTAACTTTTAAAAAATAATATTACACGTACGTAACTTTATTTAATATAACTACACGTAAAGTAAACAATAAAGTATAATAATGGTATTTATAATACCAGAGTATGAAACAGTTATGAGCATTCAGTGTACCACGCGGTTTTACGAGTTTAAACAAAGAAATGAACAAAAACAAAGCATAAAACCAGTACAAAAGAAAAAGTAGCTAAAAGGTGTTTATAACAGTCTGATACGAACCGAAGCTAATTTGTTGAAAAGTAATGTAAAGTTGTAATGAAGACAAACTTAGCTGAATATGCAGAAACTGCGTGTTCCCAAAGTGACAAGCATATAGTTTTGAACGAACTGCGCATGCGTATTTTAGACCCAAATAAGTCGAGAAAGCCCATAGCAATTGTATTTAGTTTAATGTCAATATTTTAGGAAATTATACGCGGGTTAAGTGTTGTTTGTGTGAAATACTTTGCAAATAAAAAAAAAAGCCAGTAGTCACGTGATGAACCACGACATTGTGCCATTATGTACCATACTCTTTGCATTAAAAAGTTTGACTAAGCAAAAAATAAGTAAGGTGATTGTGAACGGAAACGCCAATATGCAATCAGAACTCCTCGGACAAAGGCCTATCTAACGATATGAGATTTGTAGTTTGATCGAAAAATTTGCGAGAAAAGTTCCGGACAGACAAACGTAAGCGTATTATTTAGCTAACGTATACGCTAATTGTCTAGCTCAGGTGTGTGTTTGTCACAATTCTTCGTTTTTCGGTACAAGTATATTATTGTTCCCATTCCGATACACCAATCACTAGATCATACACCGTTTGTTTCAATTTCCCGATTCCCTGTAATGTTTATTTAGAAAAGTTAATTTTCTAAAATAGGATTAATGAAAGTTTGTCACAGGTTTGGAGCTCAAGGTTTTAGTAATAATGAGTGTCTGATTATGTAATATCGCAGTGTTTTAAGTTATCCTCGGCGATCAGGTAAACACTTCATTTTTCGTAAGGTATTTTAATAACAGGTTTGAAGACAGTCATGTTTTGAACAACATATTTTCAAGTAACCTAATCGTTTACTAAAACATGTCAAATCAAGATTTCCCTCTCACTGGACATTGTTCTCGATGTCTCTTCGGTAATTCACTGGGTCTATAACGCTAAAAATCGAGTTTCGATACCGCGGTGAGAAGTGTATAGTTATCCCACTGCACAAAAAACAAACAAACTCAAAGCGTGTTTATAACCTAACCATTTAATGACAGTTTGCCCTCAGTCATGGGGTTCTTGTAGCCTAACAACGTTTTAAAAGATCTGAGGTTTTCATTACTAATTTTTTAAGCTGGTAATTTACCGACAGAAGACGACAGTGACGCTACCTAGTAGTTTATTTCGGTGGCATATTCTTGTAACCTTGCCGTCAGTTTTTTAAATCTAATAAGTTTACTTAAGAAGTGATTCTTCAGCCTAGAAGTTTTTGTAATAACCACCTGACAGTTGAAGGTTATGTCATACGTACATTAACGTTGCTGATTATTCTTTGGTAATGTCATACGTACATTAACGTTGCTAGATTATTCTTTGGTAATGTCATACGTACATTAACGTTGCTAGATTATTCTTTGGTAATGTCATACGCACTATTAACGTTGCTAGGTTATTCTTTGGTTATGTCATACGTACATTAACGTTGCTAGGTTATTCTTTGGTAATGTCATACGTACATTAACGTTGCTAGATTATTCTTTGGTTATGTCATACGTACATTAACGTTGCTAGGTTATTCTTTGGTAATGTCATACGTACATTAACGTTGCTAGGTTATTCTTTGGTAATGTCATACGCACATTAACGTTGCTAGGTTATTCTTTGGTTATGTCATACGTACATTAACGTTGCTAGATTATACTTTGGTTATGCCATACGTACAATAACGTTGCTAGATTATTCTTTGGTTATGTCATACGTACATTAACGTTGCTAGGTTATTCTTTGCTAATGTCATACGTACATTAACGTTGCTAGGTTATTCTTTGGTAATGTCATACGTACATTAACGTTGCTAGATTATTCTTTGGTTAT